GTAACAGCTAAGGTGAAGCGCCCATCAATGTGAGTGATGTTGAGTTGGCCACGCCCACCCAGTCACATGACTACTGAGCCACACCTACTCATTAGGCTGGTCATTAGGGCAGAGAACCGGTTGTTAAATTATTTGAATCCCACCACTGGGGGCAGCATTTGCAGAGGTGGTATTCTGCCAGTTCAGACCGATTCGCCTGAACCGATAGTGGAAATCGTGGATGGGGCCGCCCACCTGCTCACCGCCCCCTGCTCTATGCTGTCCTATTTAGGCACATTTTCAAGCCAAAGCGCATGCGTGGAAGGGGTGCATGCGCTCACATTTGCGAACCGGTAGGAACCCACCTCTGCTAGGGGGACAGCATTTGCAGAGGTGGTATTCTGCCAGTTCAGACCGATTCGCCTGAACCGATAGTGGAAATCGTGGATGGGGCCGCCCACCTGCTCACCGCCCCCTGCTCTATGCTGTCCTATTTAGGCACATTTTCAAGCCAAAGCGCATGCGTGGAAGGGGTGCATGCGCTCACATTTGCGAACCGGTAGGGAAAGTAAGTTAATGCCACCCCTGAGCATTTGTTCCTGCAGATACGCATGCCTGGAGTCTTTCTTGCTAGGACAAGTGATTCGCAGGAAGAATAATGCCTCTCTGTCGTGCTTTGAGACCCATCTGACAGGGAAGTATTTCCTAAAGAGTTTGTGGTCCCTTAGTTTCTCTTCCTCCTCCTCCGAGTTGCTCCTTACTACACTGATCTGGCCCAACGGCATCTGTAGAGTTTACTGCTAAGGGGAGGCAAAGAGTTAAGCTTAAATCATAAAGTGTCAGCGGATCAGCGATTTCCTGTCAAGTCCCAATCACTTGCTCAGCTTTGTTCTCTCATCAATACTCCCATTGCTATGAGAGGTTGCCTAGTGTCAGCCATTCAAGGAAACAGTCAGGGTAGAGATCTCAGGAATAATCTTTATTGCCGCGGCAGCAGAGAAACAACATCTTGCAAAGTCTTGCACATTTCACAAAAATGTCGCATCTATTGCACTAAACAAAAAGCATTCTGAATTTCTTCTCGGAACGGAGGAGTCTTTTCTCAAAAATCCCCTCTTAATGGTTCACTCATTCTTTCAGTATCTCCAAGGTTATCTCTACATTCCTTTATAACACTATTTAGGGATCAAAGATCAAAGGAATGGTGGTTATTGCCCCCTCCAACGGTTTTGTCTCCCAACTAAGGTGTTGCTCCGATCTCAGAACAAAGTGGCAAGACCAGTTTGCCCAGGCAGTGAAATAGCTAGTCAGCAACCAGTGGCCCACATCTCAATCTCCGGCCGAGGACCCTAGAGCCATCGCTGTACCTTTTGATGCGGACTCCTTGTCTGATATAGTTGTTCAAGCAAATTCACAACCTTTTTCAGTGCGAGCCTTTTGTCTCCCTGAGAGGTTTCCCCGCCAATCAAACCTGTACAGGTAGTCCTCGATTTACAACAGTTTTTTTTTAGGGATGGTTAAAGTTGCAGCGGCAATGAAAAATGTGACTTACGACCGTTTTTTCATTCTTGTATAAATGTGTTTTTATTTTCCATTTTCATTTTCGTACAGTCACATATATACTGTGCATAACCGGGGCCATATAACAT